ACAACTCCGTCTGGGGTGGCTAGGCAGCAGACACATCAGCTCATTACGTCTGAGTTTCAAGGCGATAATTCCACTTCAACTATAGGGAACTTGATGGTTGATTATATATTCTGGCAAAGGGACACTATGCGAGTCCCTTTTTCAAACTCTTATAAAGGTTCCATAAAGTTGTCTAATATAAAAAAAGCCTCATTCCGTAAATGCAGCCCATAGCTATTCCTTCCCATTTCGTTTGATGTGTGCATAGCATTGGCCTAAGCGTCCATAAGTGGATTAAACACAACCACCTTATATCGAAATATCAATGGTACATCTACCGGTTCCCTGCCAGAAAAAGAAAGAAAACGTGCCCCCAGGGTATGGACCCCCAAAGTTGGGCATTCGAAGTTAGACATTTTCTGGTGTCCACAACCTAGCAGCTATTCACGTTCCTTCCGGTCTGTTGAAGGAAAATATCTTTCCTTCAACAGCCTGTGAATCGCTTAGGCCTAAGCGTCCGTCTGAGGGTTAGACCTAGGCTTACAAAATGAGACCCCCTTGGAATGAGACCCCAGGGCACTTGCCAAAAAAATTCTAACTTCGGGGGTGTCAGCAATCTAACAGCTACTTGTGTACCAAGTTTCAGCATCTCATCATGTCTAGAACATGGTAGAATTAGCATCAGTCAGTCACGATCGTCTATATATTATATAAATAAAAGAATCCTATGCACATTGCACTTCCGCTAAAAAAAAAATAAATTGCTTGTCATGGAAGGTAATTGCTGCCTTCCAGATTATCAATAATATCGGTCAAATTGCATTTCATCCTATCCACACAAATCTTGCCGCACTCATTGCTACGCGTCATTTATGGTTAATGCGCACTTGAATGTGTCCACAGCGTAATGGCGAAGGTAATGGCGCGGATTTACATTTTGAGCCCTACCTTGATTTTATGTTGGTCCAGAGACAGGAATATATTGGTTTTGGAGGGGAGAAAATGAAGATTTCGAATTAATTTCTTTGAAGTGATGGTGTTGCCAAGAGACAATTCGAAATGACTAACTTCATAAATAAATTTCAGAGATTTAGATTTAGCCTGTTTTTGCGCGCGGAGGTTTATAGATGTGCGGGGGTGCCGCCGATACCTTCCTGCCAGGAAAGTGTACCTTTGCAAAGAGAAAGTTAAGAACCATTGCATGTTGGGTTATACTTTCTCTTCATGTAAGGTCTAAAGAGGTCATTTGTTTAAGGGCAGCCTTTTGAGCCTATTCCTGCGCACGACATTCGTTGATCCAGCCATACTTGAAGTAGACGGACCAATTTTAAATACGTGGTACTGTACCTTCCTTTATTATATGGTTTGCTTCATTACAGGCCTGTCCCTAGCTGAGAGTTGCCTCTCATAGCTAATTCTGACATTCAAGTGTGTATCTCTTTGTATTATTGCAACAACAATCAATGGAATGGATCACATGTAAAGTAGAAGCTTTTCATCCGAGTCTATGCAACTGTCCAGGAAATCTGGAGTTTCCATGAAATTTTTTCATTCTCTGCTTGCTTTCCCATGCACGTTTCTAGCTAGCTATGTAATGCACTATACCTTCGACTAATGCAATCCTTGATCTTTCATGAAGAAAGTGGTTCAGGGCTGTTGCACCTGTATTCCTACTGGCTGGTGCAAACAGGTTCACTTCGTGCCGAAAAGCATGTGGAGATATTGGCTGTGAATGGGATTGTGGTCATGAAGAACATGTGATTCAGGATTCAATGCTGGAATGATTTATTCCTTCAATAAGGATCATCATAAGGCAAGCTTTAGTTTCATCGCCATCAAACCATCCATATTATAACTGATTCATCTAGCAATCTGCAAATAATATCGAAATTATTACGCGATTACGTCCCAATTTCAACATTTCTCGACGTTCACAGTAATGTAATTGATATTTGAAATCTGCATGTTAGCGAACGACATTTCATGAAGCACTAAAACAACAGAATATATATAAATATATATAACACATTCTAGGAACAATGCCTGGCGTTGCACATCAAGTCATTTTGGGGGCAGCCATTTTGAAAATCGTTTTTGATGTTTTTCTTCTCCCGAAACTAGAGCATCGGTTGTCTTGAAATCAAAGACTCGCTGCTTTTATTGTTCCGCTTCATGTAGTATAGCACCGATACTCCATATATCAATATATTGGCGGAGAATTCCGGAAGATTGAATGAAAAAAAGGAGTCAAGGAAGACGCCCATTGTAGGTTTTTTTTCCTCTTCGCCGTCATCGCATTATACTATTCTCCTTACAATCCTTCTTCCGCAAAATGGAGAAAGTGGAGCATACGAAGGTTAAGGGATAATGCATAAAGGATTATGGATAGGATGCAAAGCAGAAAGGCGGGACGAAGGAATACATATGAAGAAAGAGAATTACCGAGTCAATACAAGTTCCAGATTGCAGTATTTAGACAGAAGTGTAAAAGAAAGGGTAGCAAGGTCAAAGTCCAGTTCTAAATGGAAGATTTTCTTATATTACCGGATACGCTTCACTTCTACAAAGCAATATGATAAGTGCACAGAGGAGATGTAGGGAATGAGAGGTATAGGGTGGAAGACCCCCAAATATGAGTGTACAAGGTAGAAAACAGAGTTGTTGAGACATGTTAGTAATTGCGGAGAAAAGGGTATTCTTCTGGATCGCTGTTCAATCCGTCTGGATGAAAAGTTTTCAGAACGGATGCTATTTTAAGTCGTTTAGATCTTAGATAATTGCAGTTTAAAGATCTCTTTACAACCGATACAGTGACTTGCAGTGATCCATCATGACCCGTGGACGGGTCCGTTTTGAAATGACGGGAGAAAATAGTATCTCTATGAAAGACTTCATAGCGGTGACCATTGAGTCGAATTCTGAGTGGATTGGTGGTGGAACCCACGTATTGCATGCCACAGATTGTGCAGTCAAGTACATACACGATATTGGAGCTGTCACAGGTGAAGTGATCCTGGATTTCGATGGATTTTTTTGGAGTAGCGTGGCTAGAGATGACTGAAGACTTTGACATCATAAGACAAGCCTCACACCGGTTACTGTTGCAAGGGAAGGTTCCGGGAGGGAGTGATGGCTTTCTGGAACAAGAAAAGTGGATCGGTTTTTCTTTTGAATCATGTGTTCGACGAAAGGACACCAAAGGTAGATGTGAAAAAGCACTCATTGGTCAGGGATGAATTTATGAAAACGTGGGCATTTCCTGTCAAAATTCTCTGGATAAGATAGGGCATAGTATTCAAAGAAGGGAATATAACATACAAAGAAAGCGGCTGGGTGAAGGCTTTCTTTCCGGTTCCAATCGCATGACTTTCTTCATCTGACGCAATTTCCGTGTCGGAGGAATGGACTTCCTCCGGTAATTGCTGATAAAGGTCGTTTTTTGATAGGGCATCCTTTTGTTGGCGCTTATTGGACGAGTACATTTGGAACGCACTCTCTTGGGTACATGTGCCAATAGAAGGATTAATTGGAGAAGCATTTTCATCCGTCGAAGATGCAGGACTTGCAGCACTTTCTCCTCCCATGGAAGTAGATGCAGTCTATGGAAGGAAATCTAAAGATAGGACCCGTTTCCCTTTAGCAACATGATGTCCAAGGGGGGGGGGGTCTTGATGCCTGGACACCCTTGTGAGTGCCTAGCAGGAATTACTGCTCTTAGACGAATGGAGTAAGATATGGAACATGAAAATTAATAAGAGTACATTTCCTCCTACAAGAAAGTTGCTGGTGATTGACATGATAGTTACATGGAAATTCCTGGTTATGGTGGGAGTTCACAGGTTTTTGACAACCTCCCAACAAACATTTGTTACTTGTGGTAAAATTGGGAAGGTGAAACTGAGATTTAAAAAAAGTTTTTTCTTTCCCCCTCTCTCAACTCGTCAGGTAAATTATTAGGAAAAGCGGCTAAATTTCGACGAACGAGGGTGTAACGTTTTGTATGGGCTATGGTGGAAATTGCTAGGAAATGACAAGAACTTTACATAGAACCATTCGCTCTTCCTCTAGAAGGGGGGAAACGCAGAAAACTGCTGTGGTAATTACTTGTAAATAGGGATGCACCGATCCAGGATTAACCGATACAGACAGATCCCAGTGGCTGTGGAAACCACATTACAGGTCCAGACCTTAGTAGGCCTAATGCTACCTTTGGCATGCAAGGGAAGAAATAAAAAATCCTTGGACACTAATGACCCAGCATTCAAAACTCCTGTCATTTATTTAGCTCTGGAGACATTTCCGTCAGCCAATAAATTAACTTAATTAACTTCTTCAGTATAGGCCAAAACTTCCCCCGCCATTCATTGGGCCAGCGAAGAATACGTCGGACGTAGGTACTACGAACAACGGACGATCGGTGCGATGTCGTTAAGGGATTAAGGAGTTGATGCAACTACAACCGGGATCGGTGCTCGAAGGGAGAGCCGGAGGTGGGATGGACGTGAGCACAAAGTGCGCTTGCGCAAACCAGTCAGCGCAGGAAGGCAGGAGATGGGACGGAATTTCCATAGAAATTACAGGCTGGAGCCCGGTAAGATAATGTGCGGTCAGTAGGGTGAGAATGGTTAAGCCCGCCATACTGAGGCTCAGAGTGCGTCCAACAAAGTGCTGCCTGTTGAGTGCGCGCTTCTTTGTGCAATGCCAATATTATATACAATAATTTATGTGCAATAAAAAAAAAAACAAGAAACAAGGGGAAGGACATTTTTGAGTGCAGATGCAGCCGTGGCAGAATTCACGAGCCTGTTTGAGGACCTGCCAAAATAAGCATTTTCACATTCTTTTGACAAATGTTTTCAATGAATGAATAAAGTGTTTTAGTGTTGGGGGAGACTACTCTGAAAAATAATAGAATTCAACAAAATGTTTGGCCTTTTTTCTTTAGCTAAAATCTTTCAGAACAGCCCTCGTATAGGATGGCGCACTTAAAAGTAGCCCGTGTCACTCACCTATAGGAGATGCTAGAAGTGCCCTCCCTCCACATCCAGACATTGCTGAGCACGTTTCAGGCAGTTCATTGCCACGGACTTGAGTTCCTTCTCTCGAATGGCTGCAATTTCTGCTTGGATGTTTGCTTCCAACTCGGCAAGTGTGTGAGGGTTGTTACAGGCTGCTTTTAAATGCACCACCCTATATAAGATGTTTCCTCCTATACGCTTGACCCAAACCAAACCTATGTAATACCATGGATAGTTCTCCTTTTGCAGATAGATTTGGAATCGCATGACTGACCTGCAAATGCCATGCTAATTCCAGGGATCGCCATGAAATTTAAACATGAAAATGACCGGGAACTGGGAAGTTCCAGGGAAATTCCTATTTCAAATATGATACATATGGCAATGCCATGTCATTTACAGGTGGTACAATTGGACCAGGCAATTCCCTGTAAATGACATGTTTCCATGGAATTGTCTGGTTCAGTTTTACCACCTGTACATCTTTTTTTGTAAGGGTAAGATGCTTCATAGCGGGCATAATAATAATAGGTCTCTCTAAGATTTCGGCGCAGTTGAATTCGATGAGGCAAACGGGATTACTATTGATAAAGAACTCAAGTTGTCGCACGCGCAAGCGATAGTAGCTAAATGTACAGGATCGTAAGTTTCATCGGCGTTCCATAGCCAGTAAGGGCTCGCACGTGATTCTTCCGCTGAGACCCCAATTAGAGTACTGCGTTCAATTTTGGAGGCATACTATTGAAAACGACTTAACGACGCTCAAGCAGGAATAGATGAGGGCTACAAGAAATAAGGACGTTAGGGGGCTGCCGTGTAAGAAGCGATTGGAAGTGTTGAGGCTGTTTCCGGTCGAGGGGGGCATCTCATCCACGCTTTTAAATCATAAAATGATGACGTAAAGCGTGGTAGGTTTTTCCAATTCGATGGCAGCGGCAAAACGAATGGTAACCAACTTAAACTGCGTAACCCGCAAATGCGGCTCAAGTCACGTCAGAACTACTTTTCTTGTAGGGTAGTGGATGCATGGAATGTGTTGAGCGACAAGTAGTGGCTGCCCCTTTCGTGAAAACCTTTAAGAGGTTAGATGCCTTCATGGATAGATAAATAAAATGAAGCAATAGATGTCAGTGAATGGGAATTGGGTTGACAGGTTGCTAGAGGACTAGGCTTAGATATGGAGAAGTGTAGGTTTATCTCAGGGCAAGGAACACTCGAACTTGACAAAGGATGTGCACGGTGGGTAGAATTGCCTCTTCACATTCCTAAATATTGAATCTTGGGATTCGGAAAATGAGGTATAGATAGAAATCGCATGGGGCGGAAGGAAGCTCTTCCTCAAGGGCGACGTGTACGAGATCAGCCATGGAGGTCCATTCACTTGGCCTCCACGATCGCCTGATCTCCCCTCTGCATTTTTGCATGTGAGAAAGCTTGTAGACACTGGGAGACAATGTGTACCGACCTCCCCTGATGATCAGAATAGCGAAATGAAAAAATAAGATATTAGAGGGAGTGTCCAATGTGGAAACAGATATGTTGGAGGGAATTCGGCGTAAAAGTTGAATATTGCTGGGATGTGTACCGCATCACTTGCGGGAAGCCACATTGAGAAACTCAACGGTAAAACTTGAAGCGTTTCTGCATATTTTGGTTTTGGTTTCAACTTTCTACCGTTATTAGTTCTGGAACAATAATACTTGTAGTTGCGAAGACTGATCATATAGGGCATGGAAATTGGTAAGTAGCTTCAAATATAACGGGTGCAGCAGAATAAATCAATATATATCGTACATCTTTCGTCTCTTAGACTTGAACTTTCCCCCTAAGATTCTCCATTCAATTCTCTACAAAGCAATGCATTTTGTGGTGCATATGCTTGCAGCATTTCTTCTTCAGATCATGAAAAGTAAAGACCTCCAAAACCTTGTCATTTCTAAACGCGAAAATCTAGATGATTCAGCGAAAATCTTCCGGGATTTGAACAGTGCTCTGGGTCTTCCCACAATCGAACAATGGTGCTAGATATCGCGTGTCTGCTCGAAAGTTCGCCAACGAACTCGACATTTCGGAGCGGAGCGTTCGTGTAATGCTCAAGAATGATCTCCTGTTTCGGTCCTACGAGTAGGTTATCGAACCCTACTCCTCACCAACGACCACAAGGCCAAAAGGAAGAAGTTCGCCAATTGAATGCGCGGCAATTTCCGAAAGAGGACACGATGCGCATACTCTTTTCCGACGAGATGTTTGACAATGACAATGACAATGTCTACAACTCTCAAAATGATAGGGTATGGGCAGTGCACCGTGCCGAAATCGATGAGAAGGGTGGCATCAAGCAGAAACGGAAATTTCCTCATAAGGACATGATTTGGCTCGATGCTTGATGAAGAGTGTGACACCGCTGGTCATCACGCATGCATCGATCGTGATCGAGCGACACTTTCTCGACGAAGTGCTTCCGGTGGCCCTCAAATACGAAAAGGAGGCCTTTGGCGACTGGACCTTCCAACAAGATGATGCGGGGGCAACACTCCGCTCATCAACTGCCCAAACAATGGTGTAGAGACAATTTACCCTCTTTTATAGACAAGAACCATTGCAACCGAACTGTCCCGATTCGAACCCCTTGAACTACTCGATCTGGGACGAACTGGTTCCTATCATCAAGTGGGATTATGTGACGTCGAAAGGGACGAACTGATCAGGTTGTGAAGTGGATCGGCCGGAAGTCGTGTTAGAAAGTTGTTCATAGGGGACTGATCGCTTAAATTATGTGACAAAAATTATGGTGATTATTTGCTTGATCGAAAGCATTTGGTTTGTAAAGAATTGGATAGAGTATTTTTGGAGAAAATTTCAAGTCGAATCGACGAAAATGGACGATATACATATTAACGGAATACTAACACCGCCATTTATTCTGCCGCATCCATTGCAAAATGAAATGTAGGGTTCAACATGTTGAAATTCAAGAGTTTTTAGTAAAGAAGGTACGGTCACTTTTTCATTTCAATAGTGAGAACAACTCCAATAGCAAGTAATCATCTGAGAAGGGGGAAAGGAGAAAAGTGAGAGATTTTCAATTTCGTCCGTAATTGTTCCTGTTTCCATACTTCACACAAAATATTATGCCTAAAAATGTGTTTTAGTTCTTGTGGATGTCATCTAGGGTAAGTGTTGACGAGGAAGCAGGTAAAACAATTTAGATGACAGGCACCCATAGACCGTTCAGAGTCCAATACAATGTAAATCTTAAAAGAACTTCCCATCAACCTCTGCAAACGAAGCGTTGAACCCGTTCTGTGATGCTCTCCTATCAACCTACTTGTTCTTCCAGATGGTGGCGAGCTCGCTGTTCGCGGAGTCCAGCTTGCCATATTCCCGCTTCTTTTTCTTCTGCTTCCTTCCTTTTCCTGCCAAACTGATTTGTTCTAAGCGAGAGAGTCGAAGGAACCTGAAATGGACAGCAAACAGAAAAGTGGAGACACCAGGAAGAGGACGAAGATTAGACTAAAAAAATATACTTTTCGACTGACTCAGAGAAAGCAGTTGAAACAATCGAAGACAGACAAACAATGGAGGAATGCAATCTCACCATAATAATACAAATCTGGTTCTAAGTGCTAGACGTATATTGAATCATCTATGAAAAAGGAGCTTCGGAAAATTTGTTCCTTGCTTTTTTTCAAATCATGAAGGAGAAATATATATTCTAGTGATGGGCATGAAAACCTCTCAGGACATTCATACATCATCAGCATCATCATCGTTCTAACACTGATACATTTCAAAAAATGCTACAACATACAAAATTAGGCAGAAGAGATCCCTTTGAATGAAACATGAGTACGCACATCCCAAATTGTGTTTTCTTCTCTTTTTAAATTCTCTATTTTCTAGCATTTCTATCTAGTTATCCTACGCCAGACTGCAATCAGGTCTCCCTTCGCAAAGCTCGATCACAGCAAGAGAAAAATGAGATATACATACGTGCAGCGGAATGGGAGTTGAAGGCGATTGAACAGGTCGTCCCCAGAGGGAAAGAGGGGCAGAAGGGGACAACTCAGGCAGGTAACTGCTCGGAGTTGTCACATATTTCGATCTGCTGGCAATACATGGTACACTCGTATCGATCTGTTCGTTCCCACGACCTTTGGCTCGGAAAGGGTCCTTAGGAATTCGGCTGAGGTCTAATGAGGAGACCGCGACATAATTCAAGGCATCCGAACTGATCCTCTGCAAGATCGATGAAGCTTGATTGATTTCTTCATCTTCTTTTGCTCCACCTACTTCTATTTTGTCTATTCCTTCCTCTTCTTCCGTCTCCATCAGATTTTCTCCTGCTTCAGTGTTATCCACAATCTTCATTTTCTTCCGATTCGTATTATATTTACCGTTAGTCCTCATCCGACTTTCTTTCCTTGAGCTACGACTCACACCGTCAGAAGAGATAACCGAGGGTGGCTGTAGTTGCAGCGTTCTGAGTGACGCAACAGGGAATATCTCCACCGGGAGATTAATGGCTCTTGTTCCGGTTCGAAACGCCTGAGGTTCCTCATCTGAGTCGGTACCAGCCTCAGAGCAATGAGTTTTCTTCGGCCGATGTGGATGGATGTCGCTTTCAGGTATTTGATTTTCTCGGTGACGCTTATTAGACGAGCAGTTTTGGGACGCCCTCCCTTCCCCTTGAACTTTCGCTCGGAAAGGGTCCTCAGGAATTCTACTGAGGTCTAACGAGGAGACCGAGGCATCGTTCAAGGCAGCCGAGCCGATCGTCTGCGAGGTCGATGTAGGTGCCTGTCGGCGAATTCCCCTTGAACTTTCGCTCGGAAAGGGTCCTCAGGAATTCTATTGAGGTCTAACGAGGAGACCGAGGCATCGTTCAAGGCAGCCGAGCCGATCGTCTGCGAGGTCGATGTAGGTGCCTGTCGGCGAAAACCGAAAATGCATAGCTTATTCGACGGGAATTGTGAGGGACTCTCTGACGACGGAGGAGCAAGTAAGGGAGTTGCCGGTTTCTTCTCTTTTTGCCAAATGTTCAGGTCTGAGGATTGTATCACTTTTGTTCTGTTCTTGCTCTCTTCGTTGGCCTCAGCAATTTTAAGTCTCGTAGCCTTAGAGAAATTCTCTTTGAGTAAGATCGTAATCGGACTTGGGGTCTCCAAACTCCTCGATGAGGAACCAAAATAGTTCACTTCAGGGCTGTCGGTCCCGAAAATGTAGCCAAAGCTGAATTTCCAACTCTGAAGTTCTCCGTTCACACCCGGAATCAGGATTCTCCCTTCGTCACCGGAAAAGTATATCTTAATCTCCTCATTCTGCCTACTTCTGCTTCGAAACTCTTCAAGATCTCGGAAAACAGAATTCGTTAATTTCACAAATATAAAAGACTTTTTCCCGGAATTCTGTCTCTGGGATATGGTATAATGTTCTCCTTCCGGTAATGCAACTATTTCCGAATTAATTTCTTCTCCATTTTCTTCATCTTCTTTTCCTTCATCTTTTTCTTCTGACTCAATCTCTGCCGGGAGATTAATGGCTCTCGTTCCGGTTCGAAACGCCTGAGGTTCCTCATCTGCGTCGGTACAAGCCTTAGAGAAATGGACTTTCTTCGGCCGATGCGAATAGAAGTAGTTTCCAGGTATTTGATTTTCTCGGTGACGCTTATTGGACGAGCAGTTTTGGGACGCCCTCCTTTCCCCTTGAACTTTCGCTCGGAAAGGGTCCTCAGGAATTCTATTGAGGTCTAACGAGGAGACCGAGGCATCGTTCAAGGCAGCCGAGCCGATCGTCTGCGAGGTCGATGTAGGTGCCTGTCGGCGAATTCTTCATCTTCTTTTCCTTCATCTTTTTCTTCTGACTCAATCTCTGCCGGGAAATTAATGGCTCTCGTTCCGGTTCGAAACACCTGAGGTTCCTCATCTGCGTCGGTACAAGCCTTAGAGAAATGGGTTTTCTTCGGCCTATGCGAATAGAAGTAGTTTCCAGGTATTTCATCTTTGCCGTTGGGTAGATTGGATGAATAGTTTTGGGACGGCCTCTCTTCGTTTGACGGATCCACATGCTTCAGGCATCCTTTCAAAGAAAGATGACTTGATATACATTGTCCTCCCACGTTAGCAGAGACAGATTCCGGATGCTGGCTATGTGACGCGACCCAGTTTTCTGAAAGATCATGTTTATCTTGCTCATTATTGAGACTCCATTGCAGCCTACTTTGTTCTTGGGAAATGGTAAATGCTTTCACGGTATTGCTTGCACGAGTTCAATTCCGGGTTTACCTATATAGCTGCAGTTTCGTATCGCACACATTCGGTTAATCAAAGGAAAATGAAACATCTCAAAAGGAGCAGTTTAATCACTTCCTTCAGAGGGCTGCCCAAGGACTTAATACTTTTTGGTTCTCTCTTTGGCAGATGATCGACACGCACTTGTTCTAATGAATAAGCAGCACAGATTATTGCTATCTACTCGCGAAATTCACTTGTAACGAATGGTGAACTAGAATGCCTTCCCAGTTACCGATCAGTCTAATTCTCACTTGAATTCATTGACTATTTATTTTCCCTGATGAATGAAGTTCCAATGGTTATCAAAATGGCCCGATCTTAATCATTATGTTATCAAGAACGAACATTCTTGGGGAAGATAGACGGAAATATATGAAAGTAATCTATACCCAATTTCTCAATAACAGGAGATGAGGCTCCCATGATTTCAATAATATCAAAGTTTTAAGGGAAAAATTTCCCTCAGCCCCAGAGACAAAATGGCCAACCTGTTCTGCGACTTTCTTCTTCTCCACCGTCGTATTCTGCACGTAGGCAGTCGGAGTCCCATTCCAGTTTGTCTGCTTTGGCTTTCCCTCCTTCGTTTTCCTTTCGTTTCACCTCTTTCGTACATTCCTCTCCTTCTTTCTTTTCTTTCTCATCGCTTTCCTCATCGTCTTCCACTTCTCCCAACTTGTATGCAAAATAGACTGCAGAGCCAGAGTAACGTGTTTCTGTCGCTTTGCCGGGCAGGAAACTAACATTTTTCACTCTCATGTCGTTTTTTACCCAAAGATAATGGTGGAGAAGTTGGACTTCCAAAGTGAGAGATAGTTGCTCGTGATTTAACCACTTGGCAATGTTAGAAGGCAACATCTTTCGAGTAACTGCTGCTATAACGACTAAACCATGGTATTCTTTATCTTTATATTCGCCCCTCCATCTGTTGCTAATCCCACTCGTTTTCCACGTATTTTTGTTATTTGCGTCAAACGTCAGCTTGTTTTTCTTCTTTGCAGGAATATGTGTTTTACCGATCACAAAGGAAGTAACTCGTTTATCTGTTTGTCTTTCGATTTCTTCGATTGTGTCGTCGATTTTCTTAATGAGGAGCTGCACGACCTCTTGTAACGGGTAATCAGACTGGTGATTCTCATTTCTCGGCAAAGGTAAATGTGCCAAATCGACACCGTAACCCGGATACCCCTTGTAAAGTTGGTCTAATTCCATGAAGCCTCTTGTAGATGCTGTTGCATCTGAGCGGGCAGCAGAAGCCATCGTTCTCTATATAAAAATCCTCATGAAATCCACTTGGACTTTTTCTTAATCNGAGAAGGACGAAAAGGCATCCAACGACGATGAGCACCACACCAGTCGTATTCAACACGTCCTTCCCTCGAGTGTGGACGAGACCAGCCCTCATGATGCCCCCAACCGTGAGGAGGACGACGCCCGTGATTACGGCGATACCAGGGTTCTCCACCCTCACGGCCACCCACACAGCCCTTGGGAGGCCTTGGTGGTCCTGAAGAGGCAGTTCCATTTAGTTCGCTGAGAATTTCTTCTATGGTCCTGCCCGGACCGGTCTTGATGGGTCGCTGAAAAAGGGGTCTTGGCGAGGGGCATCTAGTCGTTTCCGAGCGAGGCAGCTTCTTTTGAGCAGGGCGTGGTGGTTCCGTGCTTAGATTAGTGGTTGTCAATTCTGGCATGGGTCGGGACAGCGATGTTGCCGGGATATGACGGACGGATGCGTGTTGGGCGGTCGTGCGTTGTTTGGGCTGGCCGTATGTCTGTTTACTGAGGAATTCTTTAGGACGAATTCCGGTTCGAAACGCCTGAGGTTCCTCATCTGAGTCGGTACCAGCCTTACCGAAATGAACTTTCTTCGGCCGATGCGAATCGAAGTAGTTTCCAGGTATTTCATCTTTGCTGTTGAGTAGATTGGACGAATAGTTTTGGGACGACCTCTCTTCGGTCCAAGTGCCTTCAGTTGGAATGTTTGACGGATCCACATGCTTCAGGCATCCTTTCAAAGAAAGATGACTTGATGTACCTTTTCCTCCCACGTTAGCAGAGACAGTCTCCGGACGCTGGCTATGTGACGCGACCCACTTTTCTGAAAGATCATGTTCATCTTGCTCATTATTGAGACTCCATTGCAGCCTACTTTGTTCTTGGGAAATGGTAAATGCATTCACGGTATTGCTCGCACGAGTTCAATTCTGGGTTTACCTATACTGCTTCAGTTTCGAATCGCACACATTCGGTTAATCACATGAAAATGAAACATCTCAAAAGGGCAGTTTAATCACTCCCTTCAAAGGGCTGCCCAAGGACTTAATACTTTTTGGTTCTCTCTTAGGCAGATGATCGACACGCACTTGTTCTAATGAATAAGCAGCACAGATTATTGCTATTTACTCGCGAAATTCCCTTCGTTTCGAATGGTGAACTAGAATGCCAGCCCAGTTACAGATCAGCCTAATTCTCACTTGAATTCATTGACTATATATTTTCCCATTTGAATGAAGTTCCAATGGTTATTAAGATGGCCCTATCTTAATCAGTATGTTATCAAGAACCAACATTCTCGGCGAAGATAGCCGGAAATATTGAGAAATTGGGTATATATTACTTCCATATAACAGGAGATGAGGCTCCCATGATTTCAATAATATCAAAAGACAAAATGGCCAACCTGTTCTGCGACTTTCTTCTTCTCCACCGTCGTATTCTGCACGTAGGCAGTCGGAGTCCCATTCCAGTTTGTCTGCTTTGGCTTTCCCTCCTTCGTTTTCCTTTCGTTTCACCTCTTTCGTACATTCCTCTCCTTCTTTCTTTTCTTTCTCATCGCTTTCCTCATCGTCTTCCACTTCTCCCAACTTGTATGCAAAATAGACTGCAGAGCCAGAGTAACGTGTTTCTGTCGCTTTGCCGGGCAGGAAACTAACATTTTTCACTCTCATGTCGTTTTTTACCCAAAGATAATGGTGGAGAAGTTGGACTTCCAAAGTGAGAGATAGTTGCTCGTGATTTAACCACTTGGCAATGTTAGAAGGCAACATCTTTCGAGTAACTGCTGCTATAACGACTAAACCATGGTATTCTTTATCTTTATATTCGCCCCTCCATCTGTTGCTAATCCCACTCGTTTTCCACGTATTTTTGTTTTTTGCGTCAAACGTCAGCTTGTTTTTCTTCTTTGCAGGAATATGTGTTTTACCGATCACAAAGGAAGTAACTCGTTTATCTGTTTGTCTTTCGATTTCTTCGATTGTGTCGTCGATTTTCTTAATGAGGAGCTGCACGACCTCTTGTAACGGGTAATCAGACTGGTGATTCTCATTTCTCGGCAAAGGTAAATTTGCCAAATCGACACCGTAACCCGGATACCCCTTGTAAAGTTGGTCTAATTCCATGAAGCCTCTTGTAGATGCTGTTGCATCTGAGCGGGCAGCAGAAGCCATCGTTCTCTATATAAAAATCCTCATGAAATCCACTTGGACTTTTTCTTAATCTGCTTGGAATGAATGTGATTCTGAATCTCACATTAAAATTTGGTAACGGAACTTCGAATGTTTCCCATGTTCAGCTCCACATGCACCACAGCAAAACTGGCGTTCGAACTCCTATATACACTGTAATGTGGGTCCACGATGAAAGTTGACAGGAAATACTGTCAAATACTTCGTTCTGGGCGGATTCACTGCTTTTAAAGAGGGAGAGCTTCAAGGTCTCCCGTGCATACACAAGATATTCTAGGAGAAAATCATCGTTCTGGATTCGTGAGAATTCGTAAAATACCACCGAATTTCGATTAGGATAATCGACCGATTTGATATACTAGGTCTGCGATCTTGTAATAAAGCGTGCATTGCTTTTAGAACTGGTAAAGAATATACAGGGTGGTAACATAGTGTTTCACATTTTATTAACATTCCCATTAGTTAAAAACGNCGAATTTCGATTAGGATAATCGACCGATTTGATATACTAGGTCTGCGATCTTGTAATAAAGCGTGCATTGCTTTTAGAACTGGTAAAGAATATACAGGGTGGTAACATAGTGTTTCACATTTTATTAGTATTTTCATTAGTTGAGAACGTAGAAAATGAAATTATATGTCATCTAGTAGACGAACTTAAGTTTTTCTAATGTTGAGAAATGGGTTCAAATTGTTTATCATTCCTTTGCATAATCTGCTTGCAATATACAACAGTGTTTCAATAGCATTGTCCAGTGTCTCGTGTGTTATGTGACTGAGCGCTGTAACCGCTGAACTTCAGTCTATCAATTATGTGTAAATTTGTGGAGAACACCTTTTCTTTAAGAAAACCCCATAACAAAATATAGCAGTCTAAAATCAGGAGAACCTGCTGGCCACGAGATGTCCCCTCTCATGCTCATAACGCTTTCTCCTCCATCTTATGAACGATATTCTTAATCGTTGAATTTAATATGGGTATCTTATTAGGAAACCATCGTCAAAAATTCACTCTTCACGGTAACAGATGAATGTATTTAAATAAATTTCTGAACGATTTACACCTGCTGTATTTTTCCAGATAAAACACCCACATTAAACCCAACGGTAAAGAATAGCGCTGTTAACACATTGCGTATCGGACATTTTATTCCATCGATCTCCCACTCTGACCTAAGCCTCAGTTGCAATAGCCTAAAGCTCGATGCCTACAAGGCTATGGCTTTTTCGATCATAGGTCAAGCAAAAGGACTCCCGAAATGACTCAAAAACGCACATCTCCATGAGCGGTACGCAAAGTGTTAAGTTTGATAAGCCAGGAGTATCTATTGGGCTGCTAGTTTTTTTTAATGGGGTTTCCCTAAAGAAAAGGTGTTCACAAATCCACCCATCATTGATAGGCTGAAATGTTCTGCAGTTACAGAGCTCAGAGGCCTAACACACGAGACACGACAATAATATTGAAAACACTGCTGCACATTACAGGTTATCCAAATGATGAGCAGTTTGAACATGTTAAAAAAGTATAGACAAACTCAGAATATGGCATGTAATTTAATTTCCTATCTTAATAAGTAATGAAAATGTTAACGCAATGTGAACAATTTTTTGCCACACTGTATTTGGAAATGGAACCTGAAAACGATTTACGTCCGAAATGGATAAAGCTTTAATGAAACTTTAAGTGCAATGAAGATTGAATCGGGGATTGGGACATGGGGATTGTAATCTTCAACTTCACCGTTCACAATCACAGTAAAAGCCATCGCCACAGCGACTGATCACGATGCGGTCCACCTCTCTCGGGCCGATTCTGGCGTATCTTATCGGCCGACTTTCTTCGTCACGTCCGGCAGAGAAAACGTCGCTATGTGTGCGTCATCGTATTTGTCGCATTTAAATAGCCCGATAATGAATGTCGAACGCCAGATACACGTTCCAGGATAATCGGTTTTTACGATCGAAAATTGAAAACGCCATAGATATAATTATTATTTACACCAGAACTAGAGCTTGAGTGGTGGTGAAGAAAACATGGTCTGGGTCTGGTTTCTTCGTGTTTCTCCATCCTTTCCTACCCTGTCTAGACATGAATTCCTTGAGGGGGAATGCTCACCCTCTGCTCATCACATCCGTTAGGGAGGTTTTCCCTTTCAGGCAAATGGACTCAGAATCAAGGTGGATTGGAACAAGGAATTATGTAGGGAAAATGATATGGGGTCAGAGAGACAATTATATCGTTTTCTACAACTGTCACTAGGGGGTAAAATTCTATTTCATGTCCCCCAGCGTGTGCGTCAATAAATTTAGGCCTGAAAAACTGAGACATTAATTGTGTCATTCTGACGACCTGTATCAGTCTACTCCTTGTACTTCGACTCAGTCGGATGTCATTTGGGTCTGTTTTGGGTTCTGTCGTCCTGACATCTAAGTTGGAGTCAAGGTTTGGAACTGATTATCGAAATTTCTTCGAGAAAGGCAACAGAACGTAAGAGAGGCACTACAAAATCTCATGCTAAATGGCATTATGTGTCTCCTTATCCTATTGACATTTTTGGGTTTTCTATACCAAAATGTTGTGACAAAAACAAAATGTTCGTAGCATAAGGCCAATAAGGGTCCCCCCCCCCCTNCTGTCAAATACTTCGTTCTGGGCGGATTCACTGCTTTTAAAGAGGGAGAGCTTCAAGGTCTCCCGTGCATACACAAGATATTCTAGGAGAAAATCATCGTTCTGGATTCGTGAGAATTCGTAAAATACCACCGAATTTCGATTAGGATAATCGACCGATTTGATATACTAGGTCTGCGATCTTGTAATAAAGCGTGCATTGCTTTTAGAACTGGTAAAGAATATACAGGGTGGTAACATAGTGTTTCACATTTTATTAACATTCCCATTAGTTAAAAACGTAGAAAATTAAACTACATGTCACCTAATAGACGAACTTAAGGTTTTCTAATGTTGAGAAACGGGTTCAAATTGTTCATCATTCCTTTGCATAATCTGCTTGCAATATACACCAATGTTTCGATAGCATTGTCCAGTGTCTCGTGTGTTATGACTGAGCGCTGTAACCGCAGAACTTCAGTCTATCAATTATGTGTAAATTTGTGGAGAACACCTTTTCCTTGAAGAAAACCCCATAACAAAATATAGCAGTCTAAAATCAGGAGAACCTGCTGGCCACGAGATGTCCCCTCTCATGCTCATAACGCTTTCTCCTCCATCATATGAACGATGTTCTTAATCGTTGAATTTGATATGGTTATTTCATCAGGAAACCATCGTCAAAAATTCACTCTTCATGGTAACAGATGAATGCATTTAAATAAATTTCTGAACGATTTACACCTGCTGTATTTTTCCAGATGAAACACCCACATTAAACCCAACGGTCAAGAATAGCGCTATTCACACATTGCGTATCGGACATTTTATTCCATCGATCCGCCGCTCTGACTTAAGCCTCAGTTGGATTAGCCTAAAGCTCGATGCCTACAAGGCTATGGCTTTTTCGTTCATAGGCAATGCAAAAGGACTCGCAAAATTACTCAAAAACGCAGATCTCCATGAGCGGTACGCAAAGTGTTAAATTTGATAAGCCAGGAATATCTATTGGGCTGCTAGTTTTTTTTAATGGGGTTTCCCTAAAGAAAAGGTGTTCACAAATCCACCCATCATTGATAGGCTGAAATGTTCTGCAGTTACAGCGCTCAGAGGCATAACACACGAGACACGACAATAATATTGAAAACACTGCTGCACATTACAGATTATCCAAATGATGAGCAGTTTGAACATGTTAAAAAAAAGTATAGACAAACTCAGAATATGGCATGTAATTTAATTTCCTATCTTAATAAGTAACGAAAATGTCAAAGAAATGTGAACAATTTTTGCCACACTATTTAGAAATGGGACCTGAAAACGATTACGTCCGAAATGGATAAAACTTAAAGTTTCATTAAAATGCAATGAAGATCGAATCGGGGATTGGGACATGGGGATTGTAATCTTCAACTTCACCGTTCACAATCACAATAAAAGCCATCGCCACAGCGACTGATCACGATGCGGTCCACCTCTCTCGGCCCGATTCTGGCGTATCTTATCGGCCGACTTTCTTCGTCACGTCCGGCAGAGAAAACGTCGCTATGTGTGCGACATCGTATTTGTCGCATTTAAATAGCCCGATAATGAGTGTCGAGTGCCAGATACACGTTCTAGGATAATCGGTTTTTTACGATCGAGAATTGAAAACCCCATAGGTATAATTTATTATTTTCCCCAGAACTAGAGCTTGAGTGGTGGTGAAAAAAACATGGATGGACTTGGGTCCCTTTCCCCCGCTCAATTTAGTCCCACGTTGCCAGACCCAGTATCGATTCCTATCTCCTTGGAACTTATTGTAGTGCTAGGGCCAGGATGGCACTTTGCTTAGCACTGTTGGTTAGAATGGAAGGCCAGTGGGAGCTCCATAATTACTCTGTTGAATTTGAAATTGGAAAGAAACTAATAAAAGGTATAAAAATAAATAAATGAAAGACAATGAACAGCAGACCCAAACCAATCACAAAATGAAAGACAATGGTCTCTCATTTACCTAACATTCCATTAGTAGGCCTTAGGCCACAATCCCAAGCTTGGCCATGAATAGCAAGTGACATGAACAGGCGCTAAGCCATAGGCCGGAATGTAACCAAAAACGGGACATGAGGGAAATCGGCGGTCATTGCAATGATCCCGAAACCAGGCAAGGACCCATCAGATCCCTCGTCCTTCAGGCCTATCAGCCTCCTGAGTTGCATAGGCAAACTCTTAGAAAAGATCATCACCATCAGGATCTCGTCCCACCTTGAAGACCACCATCTCCTTGACCCCGCCCAAGCTGGCTTTCGCCGCGGGCATTCCACGAGCGAACAACTAACACGCTTGACCCATGGAGCCTTACGCAGCGTCCATACAGGCATGCATTTCC